GATTAACCAAAATTAGCTTGTAAAAAATTTGTAGTACTAGTGTCAAAAAGGGTACTTTATTTTTCAATGGAAAAGACTGACGTCTATAGCTGGATAACAACTTGTTTTTCTGGATAATGGATTATATCAAAAGGAAAGGGGAAAAAACAAGAAACAAAGATGTATCTCACTCTTCGACAAAGAAAGTAGGATGATAATTTAAAAACCTTGTAACGGTTACTTTCGATGATCGCTGGCTTGAATTGTTCGAGTCAAGAAACCATCAAGCGGGGGTGCAGATGCAATAATTTCACTTTAGATATTTATATACAGTTAAATATTTATAACTGGTTTTAATTAATTGTTCGAGGCTTTAACTATCAAGGGGGGAGCATATGCAATATTTTCTCTTTAAATATTGAGTAAATTTTTTATACATTATCAGTGTATAATTTTTTACACTATCAAATTGAAATCATATTACATAGCATGAATTTAAATTCAAAATTTAAATTATGCACATGCGACATACATTCATAGTTGTTAGTGTAAAAAAAATTACTATACTATTAATGCATAAAAAGTTAATTCTTAAATACTCCCTCTGTCCCACTTTGATTTGATAGATTTGATTTTTTTGCCACACAAAGTAAGAAAAGTTAGTTAACTTTGTTGGAGTAATAAATCTAATTTACTATCTTACTAAAATACTCTTACATTAAACGGAGTATAACTAATTAGCTTTACCTTAAATAAGTTAAGTTATACTCAAGAAGAGGGCTAGATTGAGCAGTAAGGTGGGAGGGGTTGCAAGTAAAATATCTTTGGTTAAAGTTCTCTCAATTATAAAAAAAAAAAAAAACATTAAATAAGGACATTTTAAAAAATTATAATTTAATTACATTTTTCAATTGCAAAGTAAATTGTAATTTGAAATGAATGAAAAAGAAAAATAAACCTATCAAAATGGGACGTAGCGAGAGTAGTTAAGTTTTGATCGTGTAGCTCAATTACAAAATGTAGAATTGATAACGAAAAGGACTATATCTCAATGTCGGCCCGAGGCCAATGTGTCAACCTGCAATTCAGTTTAAGTCTAAGGGACCATGTGATAATTTATGCTTTCATAATGGCGTTTGTACACTTTTCTTGACTCATATGCTTAAGTCGTGTGCATTGACGGGCCATTGCTGAACCCAAACAATTGACCGCCATTATGAGTCAATCTACTCGGGCCATCCACGAGATTACCTAATCAATTGAAACTGATGTGCCCAGCTTAGGAGCATTATTCCATAACTAGAATTATCCTAAGAGAATTTACCGGGAATTATCCATCATACCCTATTTTTCCAATTGCCCCACTTGCAGAAGAACCGCCAGATCAATATAATTGGTTTCTTTTTTTTTTTTTTTTTTAACATGGAAAACGAGGATGAATAGTAAAATTAGTGGCGAAGCCGGAACATTAGACCAGTGGAGCAATATTATAGTTAAAAAAATGATATAATTATTATGTGAAAAGGTATTGAACTTATAATTACGTATTTATTTTGAGTTATTTTTTAAAATTTTTTTACTTATTCAAGTAGTATTCAATTTTTTGCTTAATTAGTTTTGAAATAATTGTATCATAAGGAGAGATGTCTAAAGTTATTATTTAGGGGGAGAAGGGGGGGTGATGGGCAATGTAGAGGGGCTATGAATTTTTCAAAATATAGGGAGTAATTTCAAGGGAGAAATATTTCCTAGAATTGAGAGGGAGGGGGGACAATTATGATAAAAGCCTACAAGTCTGTGAAGTTTTCATGTCTATTCCATAAATTGTGCAAAATTGAAGGAAGGAGGGATAATTGCCCGCCCTCTTGTAGTAAAACAAAGTGTTTGGATAGTAAATTATTCCAAATAATATTTTATTTGTATCATAAACACATTTTCTAATCTACCTTTTTATATTTTCAACTATCTTTTTATCTCACATACATCACATCACAAAAAGTGTTACAGTAATTATTCCAAATAATATTTCAAATAATATCCGTAGAAGTGTTGATAAATTCAAAATGTTACTCAAATTCTAAACTTTTGATTAATTCTCTTAATAAATCCAACATGTTAAGCTAATTATTTAAGTTATGCATATTCTACACGTAAAATAAATAATTTTTTTTTTGGGGTTGGCTATCAGGCCTATAGCTGATGGAGCTTTGTCTAAAATAAAATTGTCAAGAAAAAGAAGTTCAAAAATGTGCCAAAAGATTATTTGAATAATTATATGTTATATTGGCTGGTATATTACTGGCTTGATCAAATATTTTGTAAAAATTCAATTGGTCTGTCATCCATGCAAAACACATTTTGTTTATTCATATTCGTCATTATTCTAATGAATTATATCTATATATATATTCAGTGTTTGAAACGACAAATTAAACGAAGAGAGGATACGAGTTGAGCCTGAAGGTTTAATGTGTGAAAGCAACAATGGAAGTGGATGTATGTAGCTAGTTCACACCTTATCACCGTCAATCTTCTAAGACTCTGCCAAATGTGCAGCTAGCAATTAAGATAAATGGCTGCATGGGTTTGGTGGGCGCGGGGGGTATATTCCATGTACTCGGAGTTCTACTTGGAGTTTGAAAGCTACCATTTTTACTGAAGCGTACGTGACATTTGAAGCTTCACAACTGCCGACGAATCATCACTACACAAGTTTCAGGCAAGTTGCTCATCAGTCAAAAACATGTATGATAACCTAGAGATGCTTTACCAGTTTTTTTATGGGTTCATCTATTTAATGACTTTGTACCATTTGATTTCGAGGTCATGCCAGCTGTACATTTAGAATGGATAGATTTGTCGGGCGAGTAGGGAAGTACATTTAGAATTCCCTCATATGCCACTTTTAGACCTAAATCTTAGATATGACAGTTAGGGATGAGAATATAGTGATGAGGAGCGGTGGAATAAACCTAACTTTATTTTGCCAAAAATTCTTACTTTCGTAAGAAAATGTCAGAAAGAAAACTCATTCTCAGGGGGCTTGGGGGGTCTTTATCTCTTAGCAGCGGGGCACCCCTGTGGGATTTTCTATCCCACATCGGTAATGGGGGGTTGGGGTTTAGGTTCATAAGTCCCTCACAGGACTCCAAAAGTTACCGGCTTTTGGAGTTACTGTGGGGAGTTAGGTTTATTTTGCCAAAAATTCTTACTTTCATAAGAAAATGTCAGAAAGGAGCGGTGGAATGTCAAAAAAAAAAAAAAAAAAAAATTGGCATGTGTTAAACTCACATGTAAAAATTTTTAATTTATTTGATAATCAAATTTAACACTTAAATTTAATGTATTCAAATCTTAATTGTGTTTAGATTGTTTTATAACAAAAAATAGTGCCACTTAATTGATCTAGTGCTTCTGAATTATCTAGGCAAAATTGAGTTCAGAAAATAAGTGATAAGTTTTTCATTTATCACTTAATATAAGATATACTTATACGGTGGGGTTTAAGTACTTTTTTTATATGACCAAAATAATCCGTAGGTTGTCTTCTCCCACACCCTCTCTCATCAACATCCGATCCTAAGTCCCCCACCCCTTCCTTTCTCCTTTTCCATTGGGCATCATTATGGATAATTAAAAGGAGTTTTCCATTGAAGTGTTCTCTCATATAAGCTAAAGGTGTGCATACAAGTCTGTAGATATTTGTATCGTTTCCGCCATATTTGACAACTATATGATTCATCATTAGTTTATGGTTTGATTACAAAATTCGTTGAAGACATCACAGAAAATGTAGAACACGAAGGAGGATCTCGACAAGTTGATCAAGCTTTTATGATCAACTTACGTGAGCAAATTAAAAATCAACATTTTTAGCATTTTAGACGAATTATATTTATAGCATTTGATAGACTATTATTTGTATTTTGTCAAATATATTTATTCCATTACCAATTTTATTTCAATTTTAAGTTCATTCTTTTTCTAATAAGTAATTCTTATTTTAAATAAAATTAAATCATATGTGCTACTATTAAAATACACCAATATAATAGCATTATTTATAAATAAATCAATATAAGGACAAAATTGTAAAGTAAAAGAAATTCGGCATTCAGTTGTCTATAATTATCAAACATACATAATACATTCAATGTTCAAATTCAGACAAAAATTGTATTAAATTTACCACTTAACAATTCAGTAACTTAATGAATTCAAATTTCAGACTTCAATTTTATCAAACATGCCATAAATTTAGAGATCAATTAACCTGGTTGTTATGGCCCAAGAGACCCGCAAGACAAGCCAAGGAAGACTACTTTTGAGCTAGAGATCATAAGTAATTGACTATGAAAAGTCAGAGATTTTGCAATATTTTCTGAAGTTTTTTGTAAAAAATATATTGTAACGATTTGATGTGTGTAAAGTAAAAAAAATGATTAAAAATGTATTTACGAAAAATGTAAAATTTTTTTGAGATTCCCAAATCATAATGTTCTCCTTTGTAGAATCAAAACTCAACTCCAGCACCTTTTGGACAATATTCTGAGAGAGAAAAGCTTGAAGCCGATCAACATTCCATGAGCCACCCAAGAAGAATTCCGCCACCAGCATTGGCGGAAATTTTAACAAAGTCTGGCAAAACTTTTACAGAACAATATATATATATATATATATAACAATTTTATAGTTTTATTTTCTTCATGTTGGTGCCATTTTCCCGATTACGGGGATTTACATCGATATTTGCTCACTGCTTTTTACAACTCCCTCTTGCCCCCTTTCTGATATAATCTTGTTTCCTGCTTTCTGAATCTTTCCTAGCATGAAAACACGCATCCTTTTGGTTATTACAGTATCGGGCAACATTCGTGTTTTATTTTCTTATTACCAGTTGCTGTCGATGCCCCACATCGCAGGTGATCCACTCCACTCAAGTTAGAAGCATTGTGTTTCTTAGCATAAATCATTCTCGGAAGTTCACAAGGTAAAAATCTACTATATTTATGCTAGCAAAATTAAGAATTGACAAGCTAAATGCCTTAACATAAGAAGGGATATAGCAGGTAAATTACAAATATTTGCAATATACAATCTGCTGATAAATAAAAGAATGGAGCCAATTCTGAACATCAGTCACTATAATAATTGCTTCAAACCAAAAGTAGTATTTAACTATGGATATGCTAATTTTGTGCTCTAAAGTAACAAATGAATTGGGGTGGTGGATCACCGTTTTGTAAACATTCCCTGCACTAAAGAAGAGAAGTCATAATTTGATGGTGCACTCAAAGTTGAGTAAGGCCTGCCCATCCCCGCAGCTGATATTCTTCCACCTACTGGAGCCATTGGTGTTGCATTGTACATGCTGGCAAAGACAGATTCTGTAAGTGTTTGAAGTTATTTTCGAAAGGCTGATTTCAAATTACTGGTGGTATCTTTCCATTGAATAACGCCTATCTTCATGTTTTCAATGTATTATTAGAATGCCACGCAGGGACTGCGGGGATTTGCACTTTCTTGATTTCATCTTAAATTTTCACAGCGATTCTTGTGAGCTGCATTTATTGGATATCAGATTGCGGCACATCAAATTTTCATAAAACTAGTAGATATAGAACCAGAGGACATTTGATTTGGTTACATGCACTCAGATGCTTGAACAGGCTGGAAGAATGATTCAGGTGGAATTTCTATGCCAGCCTTTGGATTGCATTTTTCATAGAAAAATTACTGTAGCGATTTGATGTATGTGAGGAAAAAAGGTAATAGGGAAATGTGATCACGAAAAACGACGTAATTTTTCGACGGAAAACCGCAATCCAAACAAGGAGATTATCTATTAACGGAAGTGATGCAAACGAAAGGGCGCACACACTGTATTTTGCAACAAAACGACAGCAAGTCTCTTCAAATAAAGCTGAAAACTCTGATGAAGGCTGTTTAAGAAAGGTGAAAGACACCTTTTGATTGAGTTGTTATTCATGTCTAGATGTCATTCTATGATCTCAGATTTCAGATTATTCAGTGGATATTAAAGGTAATTTCTCCAACAATTATGGATGAAGAAATTCATGCAAAAGACGTTCCATAGTTAGTATTACCTTAAATTTGGACTTGCAGAAGCAGCAGCATAGCAGTTTAAAGGTTGAACACTTCCCATCTTGTACAAGAACATAAAAATATAACAATGGTAAGAAGAAAATATGTTAAAAAAAAAAAATAAGATTAAGAGAATACATTCAGGAGACCAACCATTCTTCCAGGTGCCTGATAGCTAATTCTTCCCCAGTTTTGAGCATTGGAGGTGGCTTGATGTATATTGTTGGGAATTGAATGAGACTGACCCCAAGGCCTTGGTGCAGCAGCCATGAAACTAGACTGCTGTTCAGCCAGCATCATATGTTGTTGTTGGACGGGCAAAGGTGACACCACGCTAGACTGAGAAAAAAAAAAAAAACTAGCAAGTTAAGATGTAATCTTACCTAAGAACAAGAACTGCACATGAACACTTAATAAACATATAGATTTGGTCAAGAACATACGTTACAAGTACAACAATTTCCAGGGACTGCCCAACAAATTTGAATTGAACCTTAAAATACAGTTAATGTTCTGAATTACCCTGTTCCTTTTTTATTTCAGTGATTATTTGTCATCAAAAGAAAAGAACCTCATAATATGGCAGAATAAACTTTAACTGATTGTCGCAAAAAGTCATATACCTTGTCAATGAGGCTCATGGTGTCATTCTTCATATCATCTAAAGGTTTCCCTACAACAGTTGGGGTATTCCACTGAAAATCTCTAAGTAATTCTTCAATACCAGAGTCCAGCTTGCTCTTGTTTTCTGCAACCTTAGATGGAACCTTTTGCTCTAAGCATCGTGTAGCTTCAGCAGCTGCAACAAGACAATTAAATCATTAGTGCAAGGCAAAAAGGTTTTAACTTATCCAACTATAGATGGCTTCTTACTCCATGGCGATAAGAATTACAGCCATCACCACCTCCCTAAGAAAATAAAAGAAGGAAATAAAAAGTGCTGGGAGTAGTCAGTAAAAATGCCTGCATGATACCAAATAAATCTCAGGTGAAGAACATACTCTGCGAATGTCCCAATGAAAGATTATTAGCAGCAGACAATTTGGGGTCATTTTCTTTGGCTTCCTCCATAGAAAGCTTATTAAGAAAATCAGTAGCATATTCAACCTTAGCTTCTGATTCCATTGGGGTGGCCCTGCCTCCTGGTTCTCCTTTCCTAGCCTGAGTGTCTGATGGCTCCAATTTCTGGTGAACTTCTTGCGGTTTCACAGCAGAAGCAATCTGTCCAACAGTCCATGTCAGTCTTTGGGAAACAATTATTTCTGGTATAGAATAAAAGCAAGCTACCAAATCCAGATCATTCAAATATATGCTCAGAGAGGGCAGAAACATGTTCAGAAAAAGGATGGCTCAATTTCCAAGACATCCAAAAATGGAATACAAGGAAATCAAAGTCTAGACCTCTGTATCTCTTTAGTGAACTCAAAATTCAGAAGTCTCCTGACTGACAAGTATTAGGTTGTAAATGTGGAGGCATGTGAAGGTTCACTATCATATGTAGTTGCAGAGTTACATGTGCTTAACAGTGAGCAATTTTCCCCCAACCCCCTCCAACTGTGATAAAAGTACTTCATAGGCATAAAAGTTCTAACCACTTTTCGAATTTGCACCCATTTGGACCCCATTGTAAGATTCCTTCCTCTATCACATACTGTGCCCTCTACAATTATAGTTCTATAAAATTCAAGAATTCAATGTAGACTCACTTTAAAGTAAAAAAGTTCCAACATGTTCACTTTTTTAGATCCAAGCAACAATTAAGCTCGAATGATACACAACAACTATCAAAGAATACAGTTCTTTACTCTTCACTATCAAATCCAGTCAAAAGGGTTGCTAAACGCAGCTTCCGTGCTATGACTCTTATGTACAAAATTTACAGGCTTCAACTGATCTCATCGGACTTGTGGAAAAGAAGACAAAAATACAAAGTAAGATCTTCAGAAGTTGCAAAATTCGAAGAAAAGTACAAGGACAAAAGGAGATGAAGGGAGGGAGGAACAAAAGACAAAGCAACCAAGAAAAGAACATCTTTTAAGTTTGTTCTTTTAACCTGTTCGGATACTTTAGGAGGCGCAGGGTTACAGCCGTTTTGAATGGAGGGGGAACTTGTAACATTATTCAGAAGTTTAGAGTTTTTCCTCTCTTCCGACAAATTATCTGTGCACTTAAGGTATCCAGTACTTCTACTTCCAGATCCCATCTTCTTGTCCAAAATTCTATCTTCTCTCACAGCTGGAGATGCTTTAAAGTTTCCATTCCTTGGGATCCATCTTTTCTCGACATACCTAACAAGAAATTGAAAAATAGAAACAGGATAAGTGCCTATTAGAATTCCACCACTAGGGAGTAACAATGAAGCTGGACAAAGTCATTGGCATCATAGTTGGTCAAAGTACCGATCAACCACTATCATACTTTGCACGGATAAAATTTTCAATTCCAACTCTATCAAATTTTTGAGGCAGCTCAGCTTCCCAATAGCTATTTGACTTCTCATTCCCCATTGCTGCAAAGATGAACAAACAAGTTAAGTCCAAAGGAACCATTGAAAAACTTAGTTTATCTGTCCACAAGAGGTGGAAAGGAATCCTGCTCACATTGAATCAATGCAACTTGATCTGGAAGCCATGTGTCAAGAGTAGCAGATCTCACCTGCAACAAATTAAACAAGTTTAGTAGGCATAGCATTGAAGACATTTTAAGGAAATACAATTAATCCAAGACAAGTAGCAGGGGCAAAAGATTTGCTATCCATCTGATAGGTGCACAAGTAACTCCCAAGAGCTAAAATTTCCGGTGAATATCATACTACTCTTTCATTACAGATGAACAGGATGATACACATCTTTTCCAAATCTTGAACATGTGTCATGCAAGTATGATACACGCACCTTTGATATGTGTACTCCAAGACCTCTATGGATTCCAGAACATTGCATGCATATGAAGATTCCCAGATTCACGCTAGCCCATCTAGGGCCTCTTCACAGAAATTAAATGTACCATTAGGACAAAAAAGCATGACATCTAATGTTTGAAATAATTATATTGAGACTAATTGCAGAATATACAGCTCCCAGGTACATACTTGCTCTTGCAGTCAGCACAGTATTGGTTCTCCGGCAGTTTGAGTAGCCCCTCAAGAATCTGTCGGAAGGACACAACATAGAAATTCTTCCTTTTAGCCTCAGTATACTAGAGATAACTGGATCTAATTTTGCTGGATAAAGCAAGATTGTAGGTCAGAGGCCCTCAATCACCACAGAACAGAGGCATCTTTGATCATTATAGTATCTACTCGTCAACAGATATAGATTTTATCTTATTGTCAAAATTGAATGGAGCTTAGACATCATGGATAACAGAAAAGTCAAAATTGATATCTGAGATTTCAGTTTTCTTGGCACAGAAAGAATTGGATAACAGAAAAGTCAAAACTTTTCCCCAGAGATCAGTGAACCAAAGTCTATCTAGTAGAGAGAAGACTCCATCTTTAATGCATTCAGGGGTGCAAAAACCAGTTGAAGACATAGATTAACATAGATCTAACAAATATGCTCGTAGTTGTCTACAGTCAAATGCCTTTTCAAATTTAGAAAAGAATTCAATCTATTACTCATTTTGATATGCCATTGTTCTGCATGACTGCATCTTTTGCTAGGAAAATCAAATTCCATAAATGGATTAATACCCATAAAATTTGTGGAGATCTGCATTAGCTCAAACTAACATGAAATTTGATTTCAGAAAGATGCAAAACCAGCTCTTTATTGCTTGTCAACCAAAAAAGGGGGGAGGAGGGTTTCCAAACATTTCATATGCTGGTTCAAGTATAAGTAATCAATTCAAGCTAAAATTGGCATATGTTGATTGATTGGTTCTGGTATTGCAACTTCCAGACTCTTATGTGTCAAGCCAAAATCTTTAAATGAAACTTATTAATCTCACAGTATTCTGAATTAAAGCACATGAACTGCATGTTGGAATTACCTAGAACATCATAGCTCCCCAAATGTTTAACATATGTCTAATCTATGAAAATGATATTCCTTCATATCAATCATGACTGCCTTTCCTGTAAAATCTTATCTAGCACAAACTTCTTTGTGCCAATCCATTCTTTGCCTGTTTGTTTCCTCATCGAGGTCCTAGATGTTCTGTTAATTCTTTCTTTAGCACTAAAGGAAACTCATACTGCGATAACTCTTTCGGATCGATGCCAAATCTAAGACACAGATGGAGGAAGGGCTTGTTTTAAGACACAATTAAGAGTCCACAGGAACTTTTAATAAAAAGCTAGTCTTTTCAGGGGCACCAATCTAATTTTGCCAACATATAAATTGAAATACACCAACATAGTGCTGTATGCTCTAGATTATGGACTTATGCATGTCAACCTCAACTACTTTCCCAATATGTCCAGCTATGCCGAAGTATCATGGTAATAGCAGAATATCAATGCTATAAAATTGTGTTCCAACCTCCAATGTGGGGCCTGATGCCAAAAGAAATATTGGCTTATAGAACCTTTGACAGGTATAGGAATATATAAAACTGAATTAAGACCCAACATTAGCTCATGATTGTGGATAAGTCTAATTATTTTGAGCACCGAATGGAACACAGAATAAGTTCGTCCTATGTCATCAATGACTTAAAAAATAGGAAGTTTGTTAACCAAACACACCAAATCATACATTGGCACTTGGCAGCAAAATAGTCAAGCACCGACTATCAATCTATTAGACCAAATTAGTTAGACATTCATGTTCCGTCCCAAATTGAAATTCAACCACATGCTAAACCCTCGAGAAAGGAAAAGAAATATCTCAAGAAAAGATGTTCTTTTTCTAAGCAAACCTAAAGAAGAAACTTTAAAGCCTAAATTCTGAAACTAAAATCTAACTATAAACAGAAATAAACGATGTATTTGTCCATAGCTCTGCTATGCTTCTCAAGAACAAAAAATTAACACCTTAATAAACAGAGAGAAAAAAAATAATTTAAATTGAAAAAGAATAATTTAAATTACAGACCCATCATGGTAAGACAAGAGGAAGTATTCAAACACAAGGAATACAAATTCAAACAATCCTAGCACATCAAATTTCAAAACCCACGTAAATTTCAGCGTCATGGATGCTTAGACATATTTCATGCTCCTAAAGATTCAATTTTTAACAATTTTTTTTCAAAAAAATAACTTGACATGGGATTGAAAGAAAACAGATGTATGCTTATGGAGCATGTTGACATATTATTGCTGAACAGGGATACCAGTACAACGAAATTTCCAAAACGCATTAGTTAAAACTTAAAAGACATAGTCACATATTACTTTGTTATGCAAGAATTCAAGCTTTATCAAAATCTTGGACATACAGACTCCAGCATGATTGAAGACACATATATATTGATGAAAGGAATCATAAAAACACGAAATTTTGACAACAAAGATGAATTTCAGCTCCATAAAAATTCGAACTTTGACAATTTCCCATGATAAGGAGAAAAAAAAAAACCTTACCTTTATGTGCTTTGCATTAAGCTCCTTGGAAACGCTGGCTTTTCCGTTCATGGCGTGGTGCTCTTCCCTTACTGGGCTGCCAAACTTTCTCTTGCTTTGTCTTTGCGTAGTTGCAAACAATACAAGGAGGATAACTCTTTCTTTGTTTTTCTTGTTGGACTTGTGATACGAAAGGATCAAGAAACTGCTAAGAAAACTGAGCGTAAAGAGAAGGAAAAGAAAGAGACAGAGGAGAAGATATTCGCAGCCCAAGCAGAAGCAAGTGGAGGAGGCTAAGGTTGTGAGTTGTGAGTCAGTCCCCTGAATTTGACTTTTTTCGAAGTTCCATTCCGATTCCTTCTTTGCTTTGCCGTTGTTTTTCGAGGCTGGCGTGTGCGGCTGGCTGGTCAAATCCAAGACGACCCCGCTTTTTTGTTGGTTCTTGAAATTGTGCCTGCCATTTGTTTCTACACAATTTATTTGTTCTATGCGGAAGAAGTGTTCCAATTGATCTTGTTGATTACAGTGCCTAGTCGGAGTATCAATTATTAGTAACACTTTTGGTCTATTATGTTTGTTAACTTTAGGTGGGGAGTTTTGATTGATTTAAGGACAAATCTGAAATGGGCTAAAGAAAAATGAGTTAAATTTTAGAAGGCATTAAAAGTTCCACTATGGTACCTAAATTTTTTTTTTTAAAAAAAGAAAGTTTCATTATGATCCCTTGTGGGTAGAAAATGACCCATTCGGTCCCTAATCTCATATGTTTGGGATTTTAATCAATCAAACTCATTCCAAAGAAAAGCTTAATACAAGTTGTGTAAAAGATGTCATTGGGAGGTAAAATCTTTGGCAACGGATGTGTGGACTTTTGCAGAACTGTCATAAACTTTTGTTTACGAGTCCTCTTTTGGTGTTTCATTTTACCATTTATTGTTGCTTTACAAATTCGGATTCTGATAGGTTTATTAAAAACTTACATGGTTGTTCGATCATAAAATGCAAGCACAATATGGTCTAAACTGCAAAATACTAAAGTTCCATTATTTAAGTTACTATCTTTTAATTCTCAATGATCGAGTATACATTAAAGTGTAGTAATTTCTGGTCCTTTAATTTTGACAAAATTGCAATTGATGACTGAGAAAAGATACCTGAGAAAGTAGACAAAGATGGAGAAATTTTACTAATTTGGAATAAAGTACAAAGCACTTATGCTATGCATTTACAACCGCAAAATTCTATAGCAGAAAGAGCTTAGCAAGTCATGCATCGAGAAAAGCTTGTTCTTGTGTCATAACTCAATTATCAAACTTTGTTTGGATTGTAAATTATTTGAGATATTTTTACTGTAGCACTTTTTGTGATGTGATGTATGTGAGATAAAAAGGTAATTGGGAAGATAAAAAGGTGCGTTGGAAATTGTAATGATGATGTAAGCAGATATAATTTGACAAATAATTCACAATCCAAACAAAGTTGTATAACTCCCCACCTTCTTAAATAGTATAATTGTCAATGTCTCAAGCTTTATGATTCCATATTTTTGGTTTGATTAATCAATGATTTGAGCTTACTAATCACTTTCTTCGCTTTGCAGCTGGCTAATCGAAAAAGTGGTGGATTAACAAGAAAGGCTACTAACTACCCAATGTGGGGCACTCTTCTACTGTAGTAGTCACTTTGCTCATGAATTGCGACCATGATCTCAACAAAGTCTCAGCATATTTCAATTTTAACATCTAGTTACTTAACACCTTTTTCATTACCTATCTTTGATTTCTATTAAATGTCCATAATTGGCCAAAATTTTGAAGTAAAAAGGCCAAAATGGTTTTAGCAACATTGGAAGGGACCAAAATGTAATTCACTTTAACATTAAGGGTTAATTACATTTACCTCCCCTGAGGTTTGACCAAATAACGAATCGATCCCTGAAATTTGATCAAATAACAAAAAGGTCCCTCAACCGTTAGTCTTTGCTGCTGACTGTTAGGGTTAATTACATTTACCCCCCTGAGATTTGACCAAATAACGAATCGATCCCTAAAATTTGACCAAATAACAGATTCCTCCCCCACACTAACTTCTGTCACTTATATGTAACGGAAATAGCCAAAAGTCTAAATAACCCTTATTGATTTCCATCAAATTTTTAAGGATTAATTACATCTATCTCCCTTGTGGTTTGACCAAACTACTTTTAAATCCCTGTGGTGACAAAGTGTTTTGTGTAGAAAAGCCTTCTGCTGGTTTGGTTTTACAATGGGTTACTAATAAATAGAGTAAAATGCCAATAGAAAAATGGTACTTCATTTATATAATATAGGAAAAGTATAAGGAGCCGGTACATTATGGAAAGAAAAAATGCGTACTACATTTTCAACCCTCTTATTCGCTGGAAATTTTAATTTTACTTTATCTTTTAAATAAATTACTTTTTGAAAAAATAGGTACTTTGTTCATATAATTGGAAAAAGTCGTAAAGCACTGGTATTTTATGGGATAATGGGTATTACCCGATGTAATCCAAAATTTGTCACACTATTTCACCAAATTACAAAATATGTGTATGGCAAATTTTGCATCACAAGGTCTACCAAAATTTACTCTAATTTTATCTGTTAAATAAATTAATAATTTGTTGGATTCAAAATTTTATCTGTTAACCAAAATTTTTTTCTGAAAACACAAAAATTGATAGGTCAAAAATTTGATGGAAATCAATAAGGGTTATTCAGACTTTTGGCTATTTCCGTTACATATAAGTGACAGAAGTGAGTGTGGGGGAGGAATCTGTTATTTGGTCAAAGTTTAGGGATCGATTTGTTATTTGATCAAATCTCAGGGGGGTAAATGTAATTAACCCTAACAGTCAACGGCAAAGACTAACGGTTAAGGGACCTTTTTGTTATTTGGTCAAATTTCAGGGATCGATTCGTTATTTGATCAAACCTCAGGGGAGGTAAATGTAATTAACCCTAACATTAATGGAAGCAAAGTAATTTTTCTTTCCCTTTTCATTACCTCTTAAATGTTTGTAATTTGTAGCTTGTGCATTCATTAAGCTTTTACCTTCCGGAGCCTTTAAAAGTGGCCTGGGTTTATACGGAATTCTTCACATCTCATTAGATTTAAATAAAAAAATTGTGTACATGAATGATGAATTGTCGGAAGATGTCGGATCCATTTTACCAACTTCCAATACTAATCAGAATGAGAAGAATAAGAATAAACCACTGGCCCAATGGCTAATAGGCACTAGGGAGAGACTTAAATCCCTCCTCTCTCTGATTGTAGGCGAGGGTTCAAACTTCATCTGCAGCGAAAAAACTTTAAGAGTTGTGTCGTAATATTCTCTTAATCTAGTTGGGTTACTGACAAAAGAGAAGAATAAGAATAAATTGTCGAATAAAGTAATGGAAAACGAAATTTTGAGATTAGATTACCAAACAGATGGAGAATGGAGCTCTCCAAAAGTTTGGAAAATTACACCTTAATTGTGAACAACATTTTTATACACCGCCATTGCTTCGCAGATTTCTATCCTAAATCAATCATTAATTGTTTGTGATTGATGATTAATGGAGACGCTTTCTATTCCAATCATGGCATGCATATATACGCGCGCGCGCACACACACTATCAGAAAGTTACACACACACACACTGTCAAAAAGTTGTTGCAAAGTTTGCCATAAAATAAAAAGTTGTATATATGCAGACCCTACTAAGGTATGCATGTATGTATGTGTGTATATATATATATATATATATATATATATATTATGTTTGTGACTTTTTTATGACAAATTTTGCAATAACTTTCTAATTTTATGCCCGTAATCAAGATGGGAGCTTATTTATCTTTTTACTCTCTAGTTAAGTTTCTTTTTTGTTTATTTACTCATTGAAAGAACCGAAATATATCAAGTAACATAGAACTAACCTTTTAGCAGAGCGAAAGCTTGTGCTAGTTTTTTTTAAGAAAGACAAGACTAAATTTGCAGTTCTGAATTTGCATATTGCCTTTTGAATTGGGTAATAATTTGCACTTTAATAATTGTCAAATGACAATATGGGCAGGCGCAAAATTAGTACCATAACACCGCTGTATACTATTCTACTTTTTATATGCGTATGCGAGAATTTTGGGATTTTTGGCAACATTAAGGGGGCTGATTAGAATTTTTATGGAAATATTGCAGGTGTCATTTTATATACTTAGCAATTATTCTTTTTAGATTGTGACACACATTACGTGGAAATTGGACGTGAAAACTGACGTAGCTTCAACATACTGAGTTTTCAAGTGATTTTGTGCTTGGAATAGATGATTGGACTTCCAAGAATTACATAAAGAAGAAGAGACAAAGCAAAGAAAACAAGAAGGTATGTAAATGTCTAGCCAATTCCACTAGAGAACCACATTCCCTTAGATTTGATAATACTGCTTATAGAAGTGGAATGAAGATTCTGATTTGATCGATGTTGTAGTCTAGTAATCTGTTTCCTTGCAGATTGTGTTCTGATGAAGGACTGGTCTCGCTTTGCACCTCTAACTTTGTATTACTTTTTTTATTTTGTACTTTGAGTTTTAATTTTAAACACGAACTTTACACTTTGAACTCTCAATTTTAGATAATTTACATCACAAACTCTCAAATCTGTCTCATTTAAATCCAATCAATGTCTGTTACTGTCCCGATGCTTTAAATATTCAAGTTTGTATGATTGCTTATCACACAACTTCTTCGAAGATCATTGATATTTTCCAGGGATAATTTCAGAAACCTCCCCTGAGGTTTCTGACAATCTCAATCACCTCCCCTGAAGTTCCATTTACACCAAAATCTGCTTCAAGCAAATGAAGATTGTGAGGAAATAGGAGATGAATGATACAACAAACAGATAATATATTAAATATGATGCAGCACTTCTTGGATGATCATCGATCGTCTTTCGAACTAATCTGATTCATATCATATTATCATTACGAGTTAAAGTTGATTGGATTTTAGAGAGAGTTTGTAAAGAATACAGAAGAATTGCAGAAATTGCCAATTAACTTGACGATGCAATTATGCAGAATGAGTGGAGAGCCAGATATATATTTAGTGCGACCGGCAAGAAACAACTTAAACCTAACTTTAACGAAACGACCATACATGGCTGTAGTCGGAGATCTTCATGATGACCCATGCTTCAAGCCCTTTTCCTACCGTCTCGATTGACAGGGGGCGGCTAGTGGGATATGGATATGGATGATGCACGCTCCAGATTACAATAGTACCACCACATCTTCTTTCGTTTCAACTCACTTCTGCTCCGAAATCCACGCTTTGGGCTCAAAATCTGATAATGAAAAAGTTCATATTCACCATCTCATCTTTCTTTATGCACTTTTTGTATTTTATTTGCAACTGAGTTTACAGAATCAATCATTCACTTTTTCTAGTCTGAGAAATAATAATGACTTGCTACAGTTAGAATTACAAAAATCAAAGTTAGGTACACAAACTGGATTATGCAATAGAATAGTCGTCATTTTGACAAAAAAAAAAAAAATAGAATAATCACGAAAATTAATATATTCTGTTTCTTCGTAATCCTACATTTGGCCAAGGTTCACTTTGCAAAAAAAAAAAAAAAAATCTTGACCGCTTTCAAGCTCAAGAGTCATGACACCACACCTTTCCAAAAAATGCAAAAAAAAAAAAAAAAAAAGAAAGGGAAAAATTACTAGAGTCGTGAGTTGATGATCTCTGGATCTAGAATTCGTGAGGAATTTGGTGACTTGTGATACTTATTGAAGGTAGAGAAATAAAGATACGAAGTTATTGACGGTGTTGAATGGAAACATAGAAAATTTTTAGAGAAGAGTAAAATTTTAAAATTGAAAAATTAGATTTCATCGTTTAAAAGGAAGAAGTAAGAGCTATGCATTTCTTTATTTTTTTTATATTTATCAATAGTATATAGTGGGTTAAATCAATTTTTTTTAAAGATAATTTATGAGGCGTATGCTTTTGACGTCTCACTTAAGATAATTTGATGTATGTCCTGAGTTTTCGAACTTAGATCCTACAATACTTTCGCCTTATGCGATCGCCCTTGGGGATCTCGGAACGCCACTTCCTTCTGTATATTTTTGCAGTTTCTTTTTTGCTCAAAATGAGAAATCCCCGTTCGCTGCGTGTCATCCTCATTTGTGTTCCATTGCATATTCGCTTCCTCTGTAGCCTGGAATTTCCAATGCTATCCACACACACAAGACAGGAATTGTGGTTATGCTGTAATTCAAATGCTGTACTTGTTTTTGGTTTTGGATTTTTAAGAAGCTTTTTGAACGAATTTCGACAGGTTGTGATTTATGGTTGTCAATTCTCTCGGCAGTTCTTTGATCGCAGATAAATAGCGATGAAGCATCTGTCAGAGGTGATGTCCAAGGCAGTAAGTGGGCATTTTCTGCTTTGTTGAATTTTATCTTTTCTTTGGGCTTGGGGTGGCTGCTTCAACTGTTATGCTCTCTTTTTCACTCTGCCGTAGATGACCTTGCAGATGTGTTTCTCAGTTCTTGTGCTGGTAATTTTTTGCACCAGAAACTGAAAGCCTCCTAATCAAAGCCAAAAAGGCCTCCTAATTCATGCACCATTCTCTCTACGCCCCAAATTCACAGTATGAGCTATGACTGACTGTAAAATGCAGCTTTCAGTACTTCGGGGAACATGCATAGACAGAGTAGTGTGTCTTTTGGCCCGCAAAAGGCACCATCCTGCAATTCTCTACTTCTAACACTGACCCTTTGTATTTCTTGACAGCCGCCTCTTAAAATACACCGCCTGTGCGTTTATGCAGTTTGTCGAGAATAATAATAATAAAAAAAAAGCTCCTTCTTGCCTTTCTTCTTCTTTGTGAAATGCTTGGATATGGTGTATTATTTTGGAGAAGTTTGGCACACATATTGATTGGATAAATAACAATTATATAAATTTAAAATTTAAAATTCAATTTTTACACGTATGTTATGAATCAAACGGGTGATAATGTATGTATACATTGTCAGTATGTGTTTTAATAAGATATTAGTATTAATATGTGGTGGTGTTCATGAGTATTTAAAATAGGATGATAAAGATTTTTTATTTTAAATATTTTGCAAAAATTTTTGGAGCAAATCCAGAAATGCTTCATCTAGTATTTCTCAAAATAAAATATTGCTCTGCTTGAATTAGACATAAACAAAAAAAGAGGCCAAATGGAAACAATAAGACCTCGAATAGAATTATTTTTGAATAAAAATGTATTATTGCTGATTAATGACAAGTTGAAGACTTGAAGTGCAATTTGTCTCGTTAGCCACAGAGACTTCACCCATCCCATTATCATTCCTATTTCTTCCGCAGTCTTATCTTTCAACGACGTCGTACAGGCTCCAGTCTTTGGGCCACCTAGGTTTTTTTTTTTTGAGTTTATTCAAATAATGGTGATTGATAGTTCAAAGACGGAGTATTTGGATTTAAACATATGGTCTGTGGATTATTGGGTTTCAGAAACTGATTTGGAAATCCCTTCTTTTATCTGAATTTTTCATTGCAAAGTACAACTTTGAAGCTAACAGAACCAGGAAAAATGATGGAATAGCATAAGATAAGAAGTCGAGGGAGGGAGGGTATTGCAATATAGCAAGTTATATCTCTTGCTAGACTATATATAGAACCCAAATGATGGTCCTGATGCAGTCCTCGCAGGCATTTTGATCACTAGAAAGCAGTTTTATGTGTGTTGTTTGGTGATGGGCATCCCAGTTTCCCCAACATGTATATCTTGCTTTAGTTTTGGATTCACAATGTGCAGTAGGGAAATGACAGCAAGTATCAAACGGAATTTGTTCACTAGTTGGTTCTTGATATCCTGTGATCTATCATAATGGCTGGGTGTTACTTATGTACTTTGAGTTTGCTTTTTTGTTCTTGATGTGGAGTATTCTGGCTTCAAATAGTGGTGTTTTGCAGGGCATTGACCAGGTGCATGTCTTCTCCCATTTCGATAAGTTGTTATGCCAATGCCTTTTCTTTGCCTTTTGCCTTTTCCAGTTTGATTTTTTTGGGCGTTCGGTAAATATTAGAACATGGGGTTGTATTAACTCGATAGACCAACCTTTCTGATAGCAATTCCCTTGGTTGCAACTTTTTATGTTGTCTCTAATTAAATCACCAGGGACTTGTGTTGCCACGACTTCTTGCTCTTTCTCTGGCCTTTCTGTTTTATTGTGCTCCTTAGTGTATTCTGCCCGAGTATCTCTTCTAGAAGTTAAGGTTACCTATTGCAAGCTCTGACTTACTGGATAGTGTTTGATTCAGGAGCAGAATAAACTCTTTAAAGGGTGACTAGGTAAATAGCAGCCGACAAGCAATGCCTGTAATAGTTCCATGGCCATGATGAAGCTGTTTGATGCTCATTGTCACCTACAAGATCCGAGGGTGTTCAATATGGCCCCACAGATAATCAGGAAAGCGCTTGATAATGGGGTTGCTCATTTTGCTGTCAATGGAGTCAGTGAGAGTGACTGGCATTTGGTTAAGGAGATGAGTGATAGGCATCCTTCGGTGATTCCAAATTTTGGGATCCATCCATGGTTTGTTGCTGACAGAACTCCCAATTGGCTGAACACTTTGAAGGAATTCTTTGAGGCTAATCCTGCAGCTTCAGTTGGAGAGATAGGTTTGGACAAAGGTTCACGTGGGAAGCAGATTGATTTTACAGACCAGGTTGAAGTTTTCCGACAGCAACTTCAGCTTGCTAAAGAGTTGAAAAGACCAGCATCTATCCACTGTGTGCGAGCTTTTGGTGATTTACTTGATATACTGAAATCTGAAGGACCATTCCCTGCTGGTGTGCTTTTGCATTCTTTCTTGGGTTCTGCCGAAATGGTTCCTGAATTTGCTAAGCTTGGTGCGTACTTTTCCTTTTCGGGGTTTCTTATGTCCATGAAGGAAACCAAGGCAAGGAAAATGTTGAAGTCTGTTCCTCGTGATAGAATTTTGTTGGAGACAGATGCACCCGATGCTCTTCCAAAATCAAACAATTCAGATTCTCTTCTTGTGATTGGAAGTCCTGATGAAGATTCAACTACCAAGGACAGTCCCTTGTTTGAGAATGCATCTCTAAAGGAAACCAACAAATCAACTTTGGAGACAGAAAACCTTAATCATCCTGCTAACATTCACCATGTACTGTCTTATGTAGCATCTTTGCTTGATATGACTAGGGAAGAACTTGCTGAAATTAGTTATGGAAATGCGGTAAACCTCTTCACTTATGAAGGTTCCAAGAAATATAACTAACAGGTAATTGTAGTTGTTTACTATTAATTATACAGGGTAAAATTTGTATTCAAAAAGGGCTCTTATATGTTTTCTCCTTGCACGTATTGAGAAAATGTAATTTTTTTTTTTTGTCAAAAGGGCTCTTATATGTTTTCTCCTTGCACGTATTGAGAAAATGTAATTGATCAACTTCATGCAGCACATTTGCTGTACTTGCAATGCAAGCATGTTTTGATAGCGTTGAGTCTCTTTCAATGCAGTAAAATGAACTGAAATGTCAATAAACCATTCACAAGCCAAAAGTACTTTCTGCCATCTTCAGCCTAATGATTGCCCCCCCAAAATTTCAGGGATGGGTCCGATCTAAATTCTATGCCTTTTGCACCTGTAGGCAATAGATGCTGAAGCTTTACAAGTTGGATGTTTCTCACTTCTCTTAGATCAGCCTTTTTTAGTACGATACAGTAGCATCATAAACAGAAATAAGCCAATAAATTTTCTGGTTGTGAAACCCTATGCTGTTGAAAGGCAATTCGTTTTGCTGACTGGTTTCAACATTAATGTTTCTGCCTTCCCATTTTATTGTGACTCCTCGTGATTTAGCTCGAGTTTTTCTTTTACTTTTCCCTGTGACAGGTATTAGTGGCTGGTCTAGTGCCTACTTGTTCCACAATATCAATCCAACGAAGTGGAGTAAAAGAGACTTGGATGTCTAGAAATCGATCTGAAGCTTCTTTGTAATTTCTGTTGTGACCGACATATTTTTACTGGTGCATACTGCAAGAAACCTGCTTTCCAGTCAGATAGGTTTACGTGTTGATGTGGCTGTCGCTAGAGAAAGTTCTGGCTAACTTGGAGGACATTGAACTACTACCAGGATATCTTGCACTCTTTTGTATGACTTGCAATTTATCATGGTCTACCAGTAATGCTACGTATAGATACAGAAGTGTTTATGTTCTGCAGCAGCATCAGCAAAAGCTATATCCTTTTGTGCTATGTCTTTTATGTTTCTAAAATCTTAGGTTCGTTGGAATTTTTTTCTCAATTATGGTGCCCTTGTACATAATCGAACATAAAAAAGATTCGCATACATAAATGGATCCTGCACTCAATGCCACTTTTGCTGCTACATTCCACTATTACATAAAAGACCACTTCCTCAAGATGCTCTCTCACAAATTCTTGGATCCACAGCCCATCACTCGTACTTCTTTTGTGATTTCAAAAGAGCTTCCACATCTCCAGTATAAGGAGCAACATGGTATGCATACTGCTGAATAACAGAGAAGGCAACCATCTCCACACAGATCAATAGATTCTGAATAGCTTCCTCAACGTGTTCCACATCTAACCAGAAATGCTGAGATCTAATGATGCCCGCTGCAGCTAGGATATCAAGCACCATGCCCTAAATATGTTGAAATACTAGCTTTAGTAACCAACAGTAATCCCATCAAGCATCAAGGAAAAATAGTAAAAAGAGGGAAACATGGTTTTAAGAAGCCTTTTTTTTTACTCTCTTGTGCTGTCAACAAGTCATGCTTAATTCTACTTTTAGATGGACATCATTGGAGATTAGCAGGGCATGTTATTTAATTGACTATATATGCATAAACTCATTCTGATTGCAAGAAAAAACACAGAGACAACAAAAATTTTGGTAAAGAAGCAGTTAATAAATTAGTATTGAACAAGCAAAATTATCTGCAACAGCATCAGACTAGCTTCAATATGATCTGGGAGGTAAACAAAAGAAGTTGAATGCTGCACAATGCATGCAAAGTATGTACACGTGGCAACAAGAATAGCAGCAAAATAATATGTCTGTACTCTTAATATAGGCATTGTGGCTTATAAACGTTGACAAAGACGAGCCTTTCCTGCTATATAGTAAGGCTTTAGAAAATAAAAATACAGTATAAGAGCAACTGTTAGACAATCTAAAGATGCTCAGCTTCATTACTATAACCAAGAAGCAATTACCTTCACCTTCTGCTTTATGTTTCTAGCATAGAGCACAACAACATCTCACAAAAGGATTGGATTTGGCCAATACATTTCTGGTAGTTCATATCTTTAATTTTTTGACCTTTGATGGCTTCCCTTTAAAGCATAATGCTGATAGTTAATCCCAGAATTATTAGAAGACCAAATGCCCCAGCTGTCAGGCCTATATGCATAAGAACCTTGTGTAGTTTTAGCATTGAAAATGCTCGGTCTTTCTAGAGCCAAAACCTTCCCAACCCCACCCCCTCCCTGAGAGAGAGAGAGGGAGGGAGGGGGGGGGGAGGGGAGAAGATTTTTTCTCTGGGTCTTCATAAATTTGGCTGATCAGCGGGTAAAATTTGGCTATTGATACATCTGGACTGACTTTCTTTTTGGGGCACAGATGATACATCGTGGGTACAAGACAAAGTGATAGTTGAAACCAAGCAATTGCCTTGAGAAACACTAGCAATTACCACCAGTATAACTATTGTGCACTAAGCCGGAATAATTTAATGATACAACTGTATCATGCAGTTATTGAGATGGTTTACGTCTATCATAATTATTGGATTCTCTCTTTTCTGGTAACAATACATTTCTCACAAGCACATAAACAGATAGACAGTTGAAATCCTGGCATGTATTAAAAGATTCATCAAATTGATTTAACTCCAGGGGGTCAGACACCTGCACATACGTTGCTCATATCAGAACATAGCGATATAGGGATGCTCACATCTCATCCATGAATATAGTCTGCTTGTATTATGCTTACATATGGGCTCTCTCTTCTGCTTAGAGTAATGTTTCTTATCAAGCACAGACACAACAGAGAACACAAAAGTGTGGCACGTTACAAGATACACAACATTGTGTTTAACTGCAGGTGATCATTGTCCTAAAACTATAGGCATACACAGTTATAAGATAATTTCTGCTCATTACAAATGCAGATAAAGATTCAGCAATTTGAGAAGGTAAAACAGAAATGCAAACCTGCCAAAAGCTGAAGAAAACAATCCCCTTGATGCAAATGAACTTTGCAAGTGGCTTGTGTGGTTTCAATTCTTTAGCAAAGACATGGTAGAAGGCAAGTAGCGAATACATCGCTAAAAAGAATGACATGTTGAGAATGATGGAGAATGTCCAACTGACCCATCTGGGATAAATGCCAAGAAGCTGTAGTGTTATCATTAAGAGGGAGCATACAGGGCGAATGATGACAAACTGCCATGTCCAGTACTTGAGAAGCTTCAATGTTTGATGGTTCAATCGAGTAGTGCGAGGCTGAAATGCACAATCAATATTCAGTACAAACAACATGTGTAACACATTTACCACTCATCTAAACACAATATGAACAAAGAAATCCTACATGCTATGATCTTCAAAAACTGAGCAGAATCCTTGTTAAATCATGTTTGCACTTCATTCCAGTACAAACACACACACAGAGAGATATAAACACACACACACACGCACACACAAACTTGTAACGAATCGGAAAATGTTTAACAGACTTGTGCATATAAAATAAATTTCCAATGAATACAGGGCATTTTGTTATGGTATAGTTCATGATAAGTTGCAAGATGGCTGGATTTACCGAAATGGTGTTACTAGACGTAATACAAGACTCTTATAAGACTTTGTTTAATTTTGTTTCAGATTTAAAATGTGAAGAAATAAAATAAATTAGAACTGATGCAAATGGGACATTGCATAACTCAAATATCCCCTATCACATTTTGTCAAGATCATCTGTTTTGACATACCTTTAGCAAGAAGAGAAAGACTCCGCTAACAAAACCAAATGTTGTCCACCAAAATTCTAATATGGGAAAATTGTACTCCTGTTCCTATACAATTTAAACGCTACTTCTATGTAATTAACTCTTTCAATAAAAGCCTTACATTTTTACTTTTATATCTTCTTGCAGCAAGTCTTGTACAAAGTTACACTGAAACACGGTTAATAAAAAGCAGTAGTAAGTCTCACCTGGAAAAGAGTCATAGGAAAAGAATGGTGAATTTCCCTCCCTTTAATTTCATCCGGCACTATATTCTTGCTAATGGATATATTCAAATAGCTATACATCAAAGCCAAAAACTTTGCAATCACCTAAAATTCAACACAAGACAGGGCAAAATTAACTATTATCAGCACTAATTTCAACTTCAATAAGCAAAAGTCAAGCCCCAAATAACTGAAAGAGGCTCAAAATTGAACACCCCAAAATCAAGAATATGGACTTACTAAAGCTTCATAGCACTCCTTAATGGAGCCCAAGAACATGAAAAATGCCTTGCTACCTTGAAAATCCAACAGCCCCACAAATGAATCGACAGCATAAACAGGAGCCATGAGTATAATAATGATTATGGCCTTTTGTTCCTTCGGATTTTTCCAGTAAAACAGGTGCTGTGATAAGAGCTGTACAGTATAATGGACAGTCAGCAATACGCAGAACCCAGATCCCACAGTAGTAATCTGGCCTCGATCCATCTTTGTTATGTCCATTTTTTCAATAAAGTAACTTCAGCAGCTAGCTAGCTAAAACCAAGAAAGAAACACCAGTGTTCAATCAACAAAAGCCCAAGTGTCCACCAAGAAACGGTAAAGAAGTATCAGAATCTTTGATGTACTAATCAGCTGATCAGCCTTTTTAGTAAGGGGTAGAGAAATGGAAGAGTCGGATAAGGTATTGCGATGAATCCGTTATTCAATTGCTGAAAGCAACGTAGCTGAAAAGTCGGGAGTTTATGGAGTGACTGGCGCGTGAGTCTCTTGATTGCGCGAAAAGTAGCTGTTTACTGAGAAAACTGCTAACGCAGATTACACTGTTACAGATTCGATCAAGAGGAAGAAACCTATTAAGAGAGAAGTTTCACTATTAAGCTTTGAAATCTTTTGTGCCTCGGTCCTCCTCTTTTTTTTTTGTTAAAAAAATTTATTTGTTTACCTATAAATCTGTTTATATTCTTTTTAAAATTTTTTTACGTAGGGAAAGGGGTAGATTTATATGACTGGGAGCGAGAAGGGAAAATTGAACTCAATACCTCATATTTCTAGAGCTTTAGAAAAAACGTTTGATAATACATTTAAATCCAGTTTGTTTAATTATGAGAAAAATTGACTTCGAACTTTTTTGCTATCTGATTGTACAGAATTTTTGGATGGTCTACACTATAGGTCAAATTATGAACAAAAATATTAGTATCATGTTAAACTAATTGAAAAGCCCATATCCACAAGCCTCATGATCCATTGGACTATGGAATGAAGGATCCCGGTACATCTATGTGGAGTTGAATAAAGCCCAAGCCAGCGTATTAATCTGTCCAGATTTTGCCAAGAATTTATTAATCTTTCAAGATTTTGTGTTCAAGATTGAAATTTGAGCATTGGATGCCCATGGCCTTGAAGTCTTGTCGTTGCATAGTTTGTAAGGTAGCAATTACAGTCTCTCATACACCTCCATGGCTCCACCAAATAAAACAAAACAAAAGCCAATGTATTCAAGGCAGGAGCGACCAAAAGGGGAAGACAATATCATTATAACATATCAATCTCTTGGAACCATCGTTCATTGTCAAGAACATGGATAATGTGGACTGCCTAACCAGATGTAACTTCATGATCGAATCATCCCAAATACTGCCAAAGGTATGGTCCTTCTTAAATATGTCAAGGAAGGAGGCAAAGGTGGGGGCTTGAAAAGTGGGCTGCAGAATAAATATTCCTCTTTTTTGAACCGAACAAATGTGCAGAACTAGATTTCCGCAAAAGAGAATTATTGTGCATTGATACTAGTGTTGTTTTATGTATAATCATATAAAATAAAAGCATTATTTATACGAGGTTTGAGTTCATTGACTGTTAGTTGCACTGAGGTGCTGATGGGAAGAATGAACATGAGAACCATAATTACCCTCTTGGTAATCTTGGTCGTTGAAGGCTGTTATTGGGAAAGAGGGGTTTCAACAACTGTAACTTATGATCATAAGGCATTGGTTATTGATGGAAAGAGGAGGATTTTGCAGTCAGGCTCCATACATTATCCACGAGCTACACCTGATGTGAGTTGGAACTGAAGTTAACTGGTA